TAATGATGTCAGTCAGGCATCTCAGGGCCTCCAAAGGACTTTATAGAGTTCTCTCTTTAAACTCTAGCAAAACATGTTCCAGGAAAACTAAGCCCACTTGATATATTCTGTATTCTACACCCCACACCAGGATCAGAACACGTCTTCGTGGTAATTACAGGGCTTGTCTCCCTGCCTGTAAACAGACTGAGCTAGCCTGTCGTAACCGCTGGACTGAGCTCCTCAAAGCAGAGCCTGTCTCTCACTCAAGTATGCCCAGCATGTTACCCAAGCCTAGAACAAGGACACTTCTCAGTAAATCCTGGTGGGTCAAATAAATGAACCATTCTCTTCCCTTGCTTCTCAATTTGGAACATGCATAAGCCCAGGGATGTGCAGTGGAGTGTCAAGGATTCATAAACTCGTGGCAAATATTTTGGATCGCCAATTTTACTTCATCTTTGGAAGGAAAACTCATCTTTGTATTAAAATGGTCATGCCACGGAGTCGAATGTGAATTTTTTTTTTTTTTTTTTTTTTTTAACAGAGTCTTACTCTGTCGCCCAGGCTGGAATGCAGTGGCGTGATCTCAGCTCACTGCAACCTCCACCTGCCAGGTTCAAGTGATTCTCCTGCCTCAGCCTCCCAAGTAGCTGGGATTACTGGTGCGTGTCACCACACCTGGCTAATTTTTGTATCTTTACCGGAGATGGGATGTCGTCCTGTTGGCCAGGTTGGTCTCGAACCCCTGACTTCAGGCAATCCGCCCGCCTCGGCCTCCCAAAGTGCTGGGATTAAAGGTGTAAGCCACCATGACTGGTTCGAATGCAAATTTTTTTTTTTTTTTTAGACGGAGTCTCACTCTGTAGCCAGGCTAGAGTGCAGTGGTGTGATCCCAGCTCACTGCAACCTTCCCCTCCCAGGTTCAAGCAATTCTCTTGCCTCAGCCTCCGCAGTAGCTGGGACTACAGGCATGGGCCACCATGCCCAGCTAATTTTTGTGTTTTTAGTAGAGACGGGGTTTCACCATGTTAGCCAGGATGGTCTTGATCTCTTGACCTTGTGATCCACCTGCCCCGGCCTCCCAAAGTACTGGAATTACAGGTGTGAGCCACTGTGCTGGGCTCAAATGCAGATTTTTTTAATGAGAAAATTAGACGTAAAAGAAATCTCTGTGGAAGAGCTGGTTCCTAATACCCCTAAATGAGAGGGCACATTTCCCTTGTTTTCTCTCTACTGGGAAATCTGAAAAGTAATATGTTAGTTCCACTGATGTTTGTAAAGAAAGAGTCATGATTGTTGAGGATCAATCAGTGTTAAACAGAAGGTCTGCTATGAGCCACGTAGGATAAGAAACATTATGTGATTGGATCTTAGACAATTGTGGATGAATCTGGGGAGGTGAGGACCCAGAGAGGGATGGTGGTCAAAACTAAAATGAGATAAAGTATCATCTCACCCCAGTTAAAATAGCTTATATCCGGCCAGACGCAGTGGCTCACGCCTGTCATCTCAGCACTTTGGGAGGCCGAGGCGAGCGGATCACCTGAGGTCGGGAGTTCGTGACCAGCCTGACCAACATGGAGAAACGCCATCTCTACCAAAAATACAAAAAAATTAGCCGGGCATGGTGGCACATGCCTGTAATCCCAGCTACTCGGGAGGCTGAGGCAGGAGAATCGCTTGAACCTGGGAGGCAGAGGTTGCAGTGAGCCAAGATTGTGCCATTGCACTCCAGCCTGGGCAACAAGAGTGAAACTCCTTCTCAAAAAAAAAAAAAAAAAAAAAAAAAAGCTTACTTCCAAAAGACAGGAAAGAACAAATGCTGGTGGAGAAAAGGGAACCCTCATACTCTGTTGGTGGGAATGTAAATTAGTGAAACCACTATAGAGAATAATTTGGAGGTTCTTCAAAACTAAAAATTAAGCTAAAAATTGATCCTGACATCCCACTGCTGGGTATATACCCAAAAGAAAGGAAATCAGTAGATTAAGGAGATCTCTGCATTCCCATGTTCGTTGCAGCACTGTCCACGACCACCAAGATTTGGAAACAACCTGAGTGTCCATCAACAGAAGAATGGATACAGAAAATGTGGTGCTTATACACAATGGAGTACTATTCAGCCATTAAAAAGAATGAGATCCTGCCATTTGCAAAAACATGGATGGAACTGGAGGTCATTGTGTTAAGTGAAATAAGCCAGGCACAGAAAGACAAACGGAATGTTCTCATGTATTTGTGGCAATTAAAATAATCAAAATCATTGAATGAGAATGAACATGGTGGCTCACGCCTGTAATCCCAGCACTCTGGGAGGCCGAGAAGGGCAGATCACTTGAGGTCAGGAGTTCCAGACCAGCCTGGCTGACATGGTGAAACCCCGTCTCTACTAAAAATACAAAAATTAGCCAGGCATGGTGGCGCATGCCTGTAATCCCAGCTGCTAGGGAGGTTGAGGCAGGAGAATCACTTGAACCTGGGAGGCAGAGGTTGTGGTGAGCCGAGATCGCGCCATTACACTCCAGCCTGGGTGACACAGTGAGACTCCATCTCAAAACAAAACAAAACAAAACAAAACAAACAGCTGAACATATAGAGAGATTACCAGAAGCTGGGAAGGGTTGTGAGGGGGATGGATGGGGGAGGTGGGGATGGTTAATGGGTACAACACACAACACAAATAGAAAGAATGAATAAGACATACTATTTGATAGCACAACAGGATGACTATTGTTAATAATAATAGTACATTTCAAAATACCTAAATGAATGTAATTGGATTGTTTATAACACAAAAGATAAGTGCTTAAGGAGATGGCAACCTCATTCTCCACAATGTGATTATTTCTTGTTGCATGCCTGTATCAAATATCTTGTATACCACATACATATATACAGCTACTATGTACCCACACAATTAAAAATTAAACATTAGGCCGGGCGCGGTGGCTCACGCCTGTAATCCCAGCACTTTGGGAGGCCGAGGCGGGCGGATCACAAGGTCAGGAGATCGAGACCACGGTGAAACCCCGTCTCTACTAAAAATACAAAAAATTAGCCGGGCGGGGTGGCGGGCGCCGTGGCGGGCGCCTGTAGTCCCAGCTACTCAGGAGGCTGAGGCAGGAGAATGGCGTAAACCCAGGAGGCGGAGCTTGCAGTGAGCCGAGATCGCGCCACTGCACTCCAGCCTGGGCGACAGAGCGAGACTCCGTCTCAAAAAACAAAAAAACAAAAAAAATAAAAAAATAAAAAAATAAAAATTAAACATTAAAAAATAAACTACATTCGTGATGGCAAAATAATAATAATAATATAGGGATGGCTGGATCATGTTTAAAAGTTACTGAGGCTAGGCGTGGTGGCTCGTGCCTGTAATCCCTACTCTTTGGGAGGCCCAGGTGGGAGAATTGCTTGAACTCAGGAGTTCTATACCAGCCTAGGCAACATAGAGAGACCCTTATTTACCCCCCCAAAAAAGTTACTATCCAGGGAATGCTAGGGTTGCTGGAGGAGGGGTGTATCAGAGTAATCCTATTACTTTGGGAGGCAGAGGTGAGAGGATTGCTTGAGCCTAGGATTTATAACCAGCCTGGGCAACATGGTAAGACCCCATCTCTACAAAAAAAAAAATTTTTTTAAGTTAGCTGGGCGTGGTGACATATGCCTGTAGTTCCAGCTGCTCAAGAGGCTGAGCTGGGAGGATCGCTTGATCCCAGGAGTTTGAGGCTGGGCCTCTGCACTGCAGCCTAGGTGACAGAGTGAGACCCCGTCTCAAAAAAAAAAAAAAAAAAAAAAAAAAAAAAAACTACAATTCAATAAGAAAGAGATAACAATCCAATAGAAAAACAAGTGAAAGACTTTAGCAGACTCTTCACAAAACAGAATATCCAAATGACCAATAAATATCTGAAAATAAATTCTCAATTTCACTGGTTATCAGGAATATTCAAATGTAAAACACAAGACTTTACTCAGGAGATTACTCCGATGAGATACATACCAGAATATCCAAAGTGAAAAAGCCTGATAATATCTAGTATTGGCTAGGCATGGTGGCTCACGCCTGTAATCCCATCAGGATAATCGCTTGAACCTGGGAGGCGGAGGTTGCAATGAGCCGTGATCTGGCCACTGCACTCCAGCCTGGGCAACAGAGGGAGACTTCATCTCAAAAAAATAAAAGAATGTTTTCTCCCCTGAAGCATTTTGAGTGTAAATTGTCATATCGCTCTGAATATTATAGAGTGTGTGTCCTACAAGCAAGAACATTCCACTGTAAAGATACATTTGTTCCCTTTGATGAGTGTAATGTGGGCAGGTACTTTGAGACAATGTGATAGTTTACATTCTTCACCAAACTTTTCATTCATGTACTTACATCTACATCAACTCATAGATTCTAATTTTATTCAAGGGGTTATAATCTGTTACTTTCTTTTTTTTTTTTTTTTTGAGGCAGAGTCTGGCTCTGTCGCCCAGGCTGGAGTGCAGTAGCCGGATCTCAGCTCACTGCAAGCTCCGCCTCCCGGGTTTACGCCATTCTCCTGCCTCAGCCTCCCGAGTAGCTGGGACTACAGGCGCCCGCCGCCACGTCCGGCTAGTTTTTTGTATTTTTTAGTAGAGACGGGGTTTCACCGTGTTAGCCAGGATGGTCTCGATCTCCTGACCTTGTGATCCGCCCGTCTCGGCCTCCCAAAGTGCTGAGATTACAGGCTTGAGCCACCGCGCCCGGCCTACTTTGATTTTTAACGTTGATGCTGAAATTGTCCCAGGGTTGGCCATGGAAGCCTTGCAGGCTGGTTCCTGTGTCTTTCCAGGTGTTCTCATCTTTTTTTTTTTTTTTTTTTTTTAAGCACTTCCTTACTTTCTGACCTCAAAGTATGCCCGGGTGCCTCTTGTACATTCGCTGTCCCCTCGCCTCTGGAATCAGCTATTATTCAAAGGAGAATCGCGGGCGCTTCTGATGCCTGGTGGCCGACCCCTCACCTCCGAATGACCCCCTCAGACTCTTGATTTCAATGCAGCCAGTCGGCCAATGGCAGAGGCGATGCTCCAGCGGTTGCCATGGAGACCGCCAGGCCGCAGAGCGGAAGGAGGCGGTGACGTCACTGCGGGAGCAAGTGCAGCTGCCACATCCTCGTCCTAGTCGGGCCACAGGGCACTGAGGGCAACCTCTGGGCCAGCGGTGAGGAACGAGCCTCCCTGCCTGCAGGGTCCCCCAACTGCACGACACTCCGTTGGCAGTTGCCCCAGGGAGATCAGCAGTCCCAGATCCGGAGAGACTGTTGGGGCCTGCGAGACCTTCGGAGGCCACGCCAAGAAAGGGGAAGCATCATCTTGAGACCCTCCTTGGTGCAGCCTTGCCCAGGACCCGGGAGCCGCGAGTCAGGTGGCAAACACCGCCTTCTGCTTCTCCAGCAGGCGTAAGTCCCTGGGAATCTTGGAGCCCACTCGGAGGGAGCCACAGAAGCCCCGACGTTGCACAGCCCTGCAGGCAGGGGCTGGGAGCATCCTTCACTGAGCTGGACGAAGGGGTCCTGGGGAGCGACTTCCGGCCCCTGAGGCCTCACTCTCTCCTAGCCTTTGGGAAGGAATCGCGGCATCCTGGATAATTTCGCGGATTCCCGAGGCAGCTCAGGTGTCCACCAGCGGGCATACTGCTGCCTCAAAGAGTTGGGCAAGATGCTGTTCGGCGTGAAGGACATTGCACTGTTGGAGCACGGGTGCAAGGCCCTGGAAGTGGACAGTTACAAGTCCCTGATGATCCTGGGGATCCCAGAGGACTGCAACCACGAGGAATTCGAAGAGATTATTCGGCTGCCCCTCAAACCTCTAGGCAAGTTCGAAGTGGCTGGTAAGGCCTATCTGGAAGAGGATAAATCCAAGGCGGCCATCATTCAGCTGACGGAGGACATCAATTACGCCGTGGTCCCCAGGGAGATCAAGGGCAAGGGCGGTGTGTGGAGAGTGGTCTACATGCCCCGGAAGCAGGACATCGAATTCCTGACCAAGCTGAACCTCTTTCTGCAGAGCGAGGGCAGGACGGTGGAGGATATGGCCCGGGTCCTGAGGCAGGAACTGTGTCCCCCAGCAACGGGCCCCAGAGAGCTGCCTGCAAGAAAGTGCTGTGTGCCTGGGCTGGGGGAGAAGCCGGAGGCTGGGGCCACCGTCCGGATGGACGCGGTGCCACCTCTGAACTCCTCCGAGAAGGAGAGCAAAGCTGGAGATGGCAAGAGGGGCAAAAGGAAGAACAAGAAAAACCGCCGGCGACATCACGCCTCAGACAAGAAGCTGTGAGGTGGTGGCATCGGGTGGGCATGGGGGGTATCTGAGGGGATGATGACTGTGGGAGGGTAGATACCACCTGAGTAGGTTTAAGGAGTGCGAGTGAGTGTGGGTAATGCAAGGGAGGGTGAGAATGACTCTAGTGAGTAGGTAACTTTTGAGTAAGAATGGGTATCATTTGGATAGCACAGGTAACATCTGACTAGTGCGAAAGAGGTGGCTATTTTTATCTGAGTTAACTAACTTGTGGGTTACATCTGAGTGGGTGTGGCTAACATCTGGGTACCCGTGGCTCATTTATTCATCCTACAGATATTTATTGCCTACCTACTAGGTCCCAGGTACTGTTCTAGGAGTTGAGGATACGGAAGGGAGTAAACTCAATAAAAATCCCTGCCTTCATGGCACTCAGAGTAAGTGGGTAATATTTGAATTACTTGGAGACATCGGAGTGAGCATAGGTAGCATTTGAGTACATGTGGATAACAGCTGAATGATCATAAAATCTGGTTAAGTGTGAATTGCTCATTCATCCGTGTATCCATGCAACCCAACAAAATTTCCTGAGGACCTACAGTGTGCCGGGCACTGGGAATACAGAAGGGGAATAAACAGACCAAAACCTTGCCCGTAACTCTCATAGTAGCTATTTGAATAGGTGCGGGTAACATTTGGGTTACTTGAATACACATTAGTGAGTGTGGATAGCATTAGAGTGTGTGGGTAGCATCGGCGTATAATTGAAAGTAGTTGTGGGTCATATTTGAGAGTGTGCGGGTAACACCTGAGTATGTGTATGGGTATCATTTGAGTAGATGAGAGTAATTTCTAAGTGAGGAAGGGTCTCAAAGACCCACAAACATCTTCCGCCACCCGGGAGACCCCGCGGGAGCAGCCGCGCAGGCGCAGTCAGAGCCAGAGCCTAGCAGCGCGTCCGATCGTTTATCATGTTTGCCAGGAGACCACAGGCTGCCCCCAAGGCGCCTGCGCCCTTTGCAGAAAATGGAGGAGGGGGAAACGGTCCCGGATTCCAAGGTTTTGCAGATCTCTTACTGCAGTTGAAGAAAACCCACGCAGATCCAGGAGGAACGTGTCAGGGAGATCCCTGCTCGGGAGAAGACCGCCATCCTCCTTCGGCTGTCACCCGCGGCCTGATTCTGGGGGCAGCCTCTCTTGCTGGGGGGAGGCGGGCGGCACAGACCCCTCTAGCTTTGCGCCCTCCTGGAAATCCTGTTACAGCAAAGTCTAGAGCCGTTTTCTGTGTTTCAAAAGCATGTACCTTGAATGTACCTTGGCACAAACTGGTCCGGAGTGGGCCATCCTGTCAAGCAGAAACCATGGCTGAGAGTGAGTTGCCTGCTCCCCACCTCTGAGGAACTCACTGATCTGTAAGTGGCTGTTGAAAAGCTGTCGCCTTTCTCTACACGCTGAGCCTCTCTTACAGAAGTGGTCAGAAGCGGGACCCTTCCGCCCCGATTGGCTCCTGGGGTGAGGGTGTGAGTCTCCCCAAGTTAAATTCCAGAAGCTCTGGCTTGGTGGGGAGGAGTGAACTCCACTCTCTACAGAAGAGGCAAGGCTCCTGGGCAATGGTCCAAAAGGAGGTAAATAATTAAGAGGCCATTTTCAAGAGTTACCAATGAACAACGTTAACACTGAGGTGAAGAAGAATTTTAAAATTCAGGTAAAATCCAAATACATGTGAGTAGGCAGATCTTTTGCTCAGAGACAAGGGACCTGTCAATTTGCAAACTTCTGTTAGTCCAAGGATCTGCAAAGGTTTAACAGAATCTCTTTTCAAAAATGTAACTTATACACAAAGACTCAGCCTACCAAATTGTAATACCGGAGACTCCCAATGTCTTATTTATTATAATAATAATTATTATTATTATTGAGACAGTCTCGCTCTGTCACCAGGCTGGAGTGCAGAGGTGCGATCTCAGCTCACTGCAACCTCTGACTCCCTGGTTCAAGCGATTCCCCTGCCTCAGTCTCCCTAGTAGCTGGGATTACAGGCACATACCACCACGTCCAACTAATTTTGTATTTTTAGTAGAGACGGGGTTTCACCATGTTTGCCAGGATGGTCTCAATCTCCTGACCTCATGATCCGCCCGCCTCAGCCTCCCAAAGTGCTGGGATTACAGGCATGTGCCACCGTGCCCGACCAAGACTCCTAATGTCTTATTGTGGTGGACGTTAGTCATGTCTGCGACTTCCAGCATTTAACATTCTTTTTTTTGTTTTTCTTTTTCTTTTTCTCTTTTTCTTGAGACAGTCTCGCTCTGTCACCCAGGCTGGAGTGCACTGGTGTAATCTCGGCTCACTGCAACCTCCGCCTCCCAGCTTTGAGCGATTCTCCTTCGTCAGCCTCCCGAGTAGCTGGAATTACAGTTGCCTGCCACCACACCCGGCTAATTTTTGTATATTTTTTTAGAGATGGGGTTTCGCCATGTTGGTCAGGCTGGTCTCGAACTCCCGAACTCAAGTGATTTGCCTGCCTTGGCCTCCCAAAGTGCTGAGATTACAGGCATAAACCACTGTGGCTGGCCTCAACCCCCTTTCTTATTTCTGGGAAGCCACCCCTATTTCACCCCCTTATCAAAGCCAAAAAATGGATGTTCTGTCTCTACACCCCTACCCTGGCGCCCAGGGTGCAGGTAAGAGACCCCCTCCCAAGCAGGCAGAAACTCCTATTAGATTCTTGCATTCCCAGCAAGTGCCAAGAAACAGAAGGAAATTTTAGAATTCACTTGATTGACATAACCTAAAACCTCGAAGACTGATTTTTGCCCCTTTCCCAAGCTGGCTGTCTAGCCTCAGATCACCATCCTTTTCTCTTGTGCAGTGGTTGGGATACACCTTTTCCTGCCATCTCCACACACATATGTGAACTTCTTGCAAATCCATAGTCAAGAAGTGTAGCTCTCTGTTGACTGTTTGTTTTTGTTTTTTTTTTTTTTTTTTTTTTTTTTTTTTTTTTTTTTTTTTTTTTTGGAAACGTCTTGCTTGGTTGCCCAGGTTGAAGTGCAGTGCCACAGTCTCGGCTCACTGCAACCTCCGCCTCCCTGGTTCAAGTGATTCTCCTGCCTCAGCCCCCTGAGTGGCTGTGATTACAGACATTTGCCACCACACCCAGCTAATTTTTGTATTTTTAGTAGAGATGGAGTTTCACCATGTTGTCCAGGCTGGTCTTGAACTCCTGACCTCAAGTGATCCACCCACCTCGGCTTCCCAAAGTGCTGGGATTACAGTTGTGAATCACTGTGCCCGGCTTCTCTGATGATTCTTTTTTTTTCTTTTCCTTTTTTTTTTTTTTTTTTGAGACGGAGTCTCCCTCTGTAGCCCAGGCTGGAGTGCAGTGGCGCGATCTCGGCTCACTGCAACCTCCGCTTCCCGGGTTCAAGTGATTCTCCTGCCTCAGCCTCCTGAGTAACTGGGACTACAGGCGCCCGCCACCATGCTCGGCTAATTTTTGTATTTTTAGTAGAGACGGGGTTTCACCATGTTAGCCAGGATGGTCTCGATCTCCTGACCTCATGATTTGCCCACCTTGGCCTCCCAAAGTGCTGCGATTACAGGCATGAGCCACCGTACCTGGCCTGATCTTTCTATTCCTTGTAAATGCCCGGCCTGGGTATACCCACTCGCAGAATATCGTACCACTGTGTTTGTTGTTGCATCCCAGAGTCCCAGCTTGAATAAATGCTACGAAAGCCTCCAGCATGTTTGCTGAATGCTGCTCTCCCATCAAGTCATATTCGTTGTATAATAAGGGATGGTGTGACATTTCTTACCATATTGCAGTACGAAGACTGTATTTTGTGCTTGTTGTGGATTTCAGGGGTATAACATTTATATTTGTAATATACAATGTGTGTGGTTGTTCAATGTGGCCCATGAAATCAAAATCCTACCACTTCTCTTTCAAGGTTTTCTGGACCAGTCAAAGTGTATCCTGGGACTCCAGTACAAGTTGTCATGTAAAACTGTCACCATTTGAAGCTACTTAGCTGAGTCAATATATCACTGGTAGGGCAAATCCCAAGCAAAAATTCACAGGTAAATTGAATGTGCCAGCTGTTGGAGGGCTGCATCTGGCTTCTGTAAACCCCTGATTTCAAAAAGGGGTTCAGCTAAAACTCTTCATTGTTCTTTGTGATTGAGATGCTCTTTTGTACAAATATGAACTCATAAAATAAATGTATGCTAATGAAATCACAGTCTGCCCCTTGATTTATGGGGGGGAAATTCATGTAAAATTTAAGTTGGAAAAATGATGTGGCTGCTAAAACAAGTACTGAAAACTGCTTCCATGGCCTGAAGTCTTCCAGGACTACATTTATTTTTATTTTTATTTATTTATTTATTTTTGAGACAGTCTCTCTCTGTTGTCCATGCTGGAGTGCAGTGGTGTGATCTTGGCTCACTGCAACCTCCGCCTCCCGGGTTCAAGTGATTATCCTGCCTCAGCCTCCTGAGTAGCTGGGACTACAGGCGCCCACTACCATGCCCGGCTGATGTTTTTGTTTTTAGTAGAGATGGGGTTTCGCCATGTGGACCAGACTGGTCTCGAACTACTGACCTCAAGTGATCCACCTGCCTTGGCCTCCCAATATGCTGGGATTACAGGAGTGAGCCACCGTGCCTGGCCCTGCATTATTTTGAGAAGGGCTGTTATTGATATTAATGGCCAAACAGGCACAAGACACAGCTTTCTTTTTTTTTTTTTTTGAGACAAAGTCTTGCTCTGTCGTCCAGGCTGGAGTGCAGTGGCACGATCTTGGCTCACTACAAGCTCAGCCTCCCGGGTTCACACCATTCTCCTACCTCAGCCTCTCGAGTAGCTGGGACTACAGGTGCCTGCCACCACGCCCAGCTAATTTTTTTTGGTATTTTTTAGGAGAGACAGGGTTTCACTGCGTTAGCCAGGATGGTCTCAATCTCCTGACCTCGTGATCTGCCCACCTTGGCTTCCCAAAGTGCTGGGATTACAGGCGTGAGCCACCGCGTCCGGCCAAAACATGGTTTTGTTTTATCCTACGAGCTTCTCAGATGTCAGGCCGTTTTCCAGTGGTTGGTGTGAAAGATGAAACAATTTAACCGAAATAAAAACAGTAACGGCTATCTTGTGTTCCAGGCACTATGCCACATTCCTTCATATCATTAGCCCATCATACCCTGCCAACCCTGTGAGGTATGGCCCTATAGGTCCACAATCTCTTATAAAAACCCTCAGCCAGATGTGGTTTCAGGGGTATATGTGGTTCCGAATTCAGAGTTTTGGATTTTAGAAAAATGATACCTTATATTGTAGAATTTAGTATCAATATAGAGGGATGCGGGAAGCCCTTATAATCCCATCAATACTTCTGTAGTGGGCTGGGTGCAGTGGTTCACACCTGTGATCCCAGTACTTTGGGAGGCCAAGGTGGGAGAATTGCTTGAGGCTAGGAGTTCAAAACCAGCCTGGGCAACACAGCAAGACCCCCATCTCTACAAAAACTAAAACAAAACAAAACAAAACAAAACAAATTAGGCATGGTGGCATGCACCTGTAGTCCCAGCTACACTGGAGGTTGAGGTGGAGGGATCACTTGAGGCCAGGAGGTCAAGGCTGCAGTGAACTGTGATTGCACCACTGCACTCCAGCCTGGACAACAGAGTGAGACCCCCCTACATCTCAGAAAAACAACAACAACAACAACAACAACAGATAAGAGATTAGATGATCAACCTGTACTATTATTAAGATCATCATTTCATTCTGTGGATGAAGAAAGTAAAGCTCAGAGAGGCTAGGTAACTTGTCTAAGGCTACAGAGCAAAGCACAACAGGAATTGAAAATAGGCCTCTGACCACATCCTGTGCTCCTAACACTGATGGGGGTCTCTCTCGGGCTGGGAGGCCCCAGCTGATATCGGAGTCATAGAGCATGGTGTCTCTGGTAATGGCTGGGCGGAGATTCTTCAGGATACCTTGGGAAACGAGCCAGAGGTGGGTGGCACTCTGAGGGCCCGTCTGAAACTGCAGTGAACGCTCTGGTTTTAAGTGGGGGCTTAGAGCAGAGAATAATCTTCGCGCTTATTGAATACTTCATATGTACCAGGCACTATTCTAAGCATTTTACACAGAGCTACACAATTTAAACAGAGCCAGGATGTGAACCGGGCTTGAGTCTGCAAACAGCTAGACCACACTGCCTTTTCTCTTCCTTTCCTTTCCTTTTTCCTTTCCTTTCCTCTTTCCTTTCCTCTTTCCTTTCCTTTACCTTCCCTTCCTTTCCCCTCCCCTCCCCTCCTCTCCCCTGCCCTCCCCTCCCCTTCCCTTCCCTTCCTTTCCTTTCCTTTTAGATGGAGACTCGCTTTGTGGCCCAGGCTGTAGTGCCATGGCGTGATCTTGGCTCACTGCAACCTCCACTTCCCAGGTTCAAGTGATTCTCCTGCCTCAGCCTCCCAAGTAGCTGGGACTACAGGCGCGTGCCACCATGCCTGGCTAAGTTTTCATTTTTTTTTTTTTTTTTTTTTTCAGTAGAGATGGGGTTTCACCTTGTTAGCCAGAATGGTCTCCATCTCCTGACCTCGTGATCCGCCCGCCTTGGCCTCCAAAAGTGCTGGGATTACAGGCGTGAGCCACCACACCCGGCCCACACTGCCTTTTCTAATTTCTTGAGCATTTACCATCCCCGGGCTCTGTGCTAATACCTCTCATGGTCTCATGAACTGCTCACAACCTCTCCATGGGGTTAAGTCTCATTACAACTGCCATTTGCCAGAGAAGGAAACCAAGGCTCAGAGAGGTGAAGAAACTCACCCAAAGTCACACAACCACAGAGTGATAGAACCAGAATTTGAACCCAGGCAGCCTAGCTCCAGAGCCCACATGCTCCACCACATGGAGGGCTAGCAGGGCACACAGATGAATGGGGCCTTGGTGAATCCAGGGAGACAGCACCCTGGCGCCTCCTCCCAGCAGTCCTTGGTGAGAAACAGGGATTCTGAAGGCAGGCTCAGAGTCTCTGAGTGACCAACACATAACATGTGATTCCGGCCGGGAACGGTGGCTCACGCCTGTAATCCCAGCACTTTTGGAGGCTGAGGCAGGTGGATCACTTGAGGCTAGGAGCTTGAGACTAGCCTGGCCAACATGGTGAAATCCTGTCTCAACTAAAAATACAAAAATCCGCCAGGTGTGGTTGTGCGCACCTGTAATCCCAGTTACTTGGGAGGCTGAGGCAGGAGAATCGCCACTGCACTCCAGCCTGGGCGACAGAGCAAGACTCCATCTTAATAATAATAATAATATGTGATTCCCATGAAGCCTGGGGCTGGTGATTCTCCACGTGTCTCCAAGATTCTTTCTCTGCACTTCCCCAGCCTGCTCTGTGAGCTTGGGGTGGGAGGGCTGACTCTGTGGACTGCATTACCCAAGTTCCTTTGCACTATGATTTCCAGCTGGGATCATCTCTCGGGGACCAGGAATCAGGGGATGGAAGGAGAAAGAGGTTGAGTTACTTCTTCCTTGCTCCCGCCTGCTGGGCTCCCAGCCCTTGAGGTTGCATCCATATCACAGCTCTCTCTCTTGGGTCCTCCTGCCTGGAGGTGCTCCCACACCTCCCTCAGTATGTCCCCTCCTTCCAGTCTTTTGAAAATCCCAGCTGGGGCTGGGTGCAGTGGCTCATGCCTGTAATCCCAGCATTTTGGGAGGCTAAGACGGGCAGATCACCTGAGGTCAGGAGTTCAAGACCAGCCTGGCCAACATGGTGAAACCACATCTTTACTAAAAATACAAAAATTAGTGGGGCGTGGTGGTGCACACCTGTAATCCCAGCTACTCAGGAGGCTGAGGTGGGAGAATAGCTTGAACCTGGGAGGCAGAGGTTCCAGTGAGCCAAGATCATGCTACTGTACTCCAGCCTGGGCAACAGAGTGAGACTCTGTCTCAAAAAGGAAAAAAAAAAAAATCCCAGCTGCATGTGCCCTCTGGTGCTTACGGGGCAGGAAGTTGGGAGGGCAGATAAGGGGTGGGCATATGTGCCTAGGTGGGCACAGAGCACACGACTCTGCACCTGCTGTTCCGTCTGACTTTCAGTCGCCCTTCAGGCTTTCCACCCCCTCCCTCCAGGAAACCTTCCTGGACCCCTCAGACTGGATTAGGTGTCCCCATTTTTTTTTTTTTTTTTTTTTTTGAGACAGAGTTTTGTTCTTGTTGCCCAAGCTAGAGTTCAATGGCGTGATCTTAGCTCACGGCAACCTCTGCCTCCCAGGTTCAAGCAATTCTTCTGCTTCGGCCTCCAGAGTAGCTGGGATTACAGGCATGCACCACCATGCCCAGCTAATTTTGTATTTCTAGTAGAGACAGGGTTTTACCATGTTGGTAAAATAGGCTTCTCTAGGTGCCCCTATTTTATCCTCTCATAGCTCCCTGTATTTTTCCAGCTTGGTAAACCTCTCAATGCTGATTAATCTTATTTGCATAAATCTTTGATGCCACTCTTCCCTGCAAGACTGTGAGCTCCCAGAGGGCAGAACTGGGTCTGTCTCCTTATCCCCAGGGCCCAGCACTGTACCTGGCACATCGCAGGTGCTCAAGAAATATGTGGGATTGTTTTAATATAGGTTTTATTATGATTTAGGTATGGTAAGGCCAAGAGGTCAGATAACTACTGTTGAAAACATGTTTGTTACTCACAGATCCCAAGAGGAAGAGGCCACACTATGACGTGTTACCGGAAACGGGTCCTGATCCAGACCCCAGGCAAGGGTTCTTGAATCTCGTGCAAGAAAGAATTCAGGACAAGTTTATAAAGTGAAAGCAAGTTTATTAAGAAAGTAGGCCGGGCATAGTGGCTCACGCCTTTAATCCCAGCACTTTGGGAGGCCAAGGTGGGCAGATCACCAGAGGTCGAGAGTTCGAGACCAGCCTGGCCAACATGGCGAAACCACGTCTCTACTAAAAATACAAAAATTAGCAGGGTGTGGTGTCAGGCACCTGTAATCCCAGCTACTGGGGAGGCTGAGACAGGAGAATCGCTTGAACCCGGGAGGCAGAGGTTGCAGTGAGCTGAGATCGTGCCATTGCACTCCAACCTGGGCAACAAGAACGAAGCTATGTCTCAGAAAAAAAAACAAAAAAGAAAGAAAGTAGAGGAAAAAAAGAATGGCTGCTCCACAGACAGAGTAGCCCCGAGGGCTGCTGTTTACCCATTTTTACGGTTATT